TAGTATTACAACTAAAAACGTTTTTGACGCCGCCACCGCAGTTTGTCCTTCATGAGCCTTCGTAGACAAGATGGCGGCTGCCTGTACTGGCGACCCGCGACCATGGAGGTATAAACAACTTTTTATAAGGCAAAAATAATAAAACAAGGTCTTTGTCTGCAATGATTAGGCATGTGTTTTTTATTATTGTCATTAGTGATTATCTCAATTTCAGCTAAAATAATTGACAAAATCCTACACACTGTTCCTTTAAGGTTGGCAAAACTTAATTTAGCTTAAGCAAATTGGTCCACTAACTAGGATTGCCATTAGCCAAGACGTCCCATATTTTTAGCCWAATTGAAGCATCTTTGTWCAGTRTACTCTTCTGCAGCCTGCAATTTGTAATTACAAATACTAGATTTAAGCAAGGTGCAGCTGTTCTTCAGTCTGCGATGGATTCTTCCAGAAGTCTCAGTGAACTTGAACAATTTATTTTAGAAACATATATCTACAGAGGAGGCTCTGCAACTACAAAAAGGGATGGGAACAAAATAATCCATGGATTAAATCTGTCAGTGATGTGATTAAAGCTTTTTTGCAGTTTATGCATCAGGGATTCTCAACTGAACATGGAGGTGAGTTTGTGTCATTAAGCCCCGCCCCCCCAGCGAAACTGTATTTTGGAGGTGGGGTGGCTGCTAATGGTTTTCCAAGTTAGTGAAAAAGGTAATCAGCTAAACGAAATATTAATCCAGTCATGTTTTTCTGCTGTTCATGAGAATATTTTTTAAAAATAATTTTTTTTAATTAATCCAAAACCAACACTAAAAGATTCACGTAAAACCCAAAACAGGACCAGACAGAAACCTCAAAGTGTCAAAAAAAAAAAAAAAGTCCTAAAACTTTGGATGCAATTCTGAAATCTTAAAGCAGAAAAAGTGTTTGTGTTCAGAATTCCTCCAGATAAACAAACAAACAAAATTAAACAAGCACTTAGTGGAAAGTAGGATTTTAGAGCATGAATGCCTTCATTTTAAGTCCCCGAGAGGATGCTTTTCAGCAGGAGTAAAGAAGGAAGTGAAGGTCCAGAGGGTCGTGATTAATGTGGTTTATTGTGATTTTTAATAAGGCTAAAAGGATTTCAATAAAAGGATTTATTTATTTTTTCCAGCCTTTAGCATCTGATTGGAAACTCTCCAACTGCAGCTGGAATGTTTCTCCATTAAACATGAATCTTTTCTGAGGGATGAAGGGATCAAACATGGAAAGCCGGCAGAGACGTCACTGTTCGCAGCTGCTCAAGTGCGGGGAATTAAATCTGATTAGGCCCGCTCTCGTAATCCTGCTCCTCAAACACCCACGGACTCGAGAGGGGGAAATGTGGACGGAATCTCAAAAATAACCACTTGTTTTTGTGAACTTGAACTGAAGGGTTTGCGTTTTAAAGCGGCGAGAGAGCGTGGGCGGTTTGGTGAAACCGGACCACCGGGTCACGAGGAGACGTGAACATTTAAAATGCAATGAGCGGCGTTGTGAGGGACTTAGCATGCCGGGGGCCTCGGGGGCACGCTGATCGATCATAACGGCCCCTCGGAGCTCCAAGGTCAGAGCCTGACTGTCGATCAGGACGATGAGGCTGTTCTTCCTCCTCAGAGGTGGACGCTGATGGTTWTTTTACATCAGATTTGTCTTCACTTGTTCTCTGCTTCATGACCGATCATCCCGGGTTTACAGAGCCCCCTTTATGTTATCGCTAATCTGCTGACTCCACCTCTGATTTATGACTGAGAACTGCTGCAGGAGGAGGAGGRGGAGGAGGAGGGGAGACCTTGACGAAAGACTCTGGCTGGCTTTTTGTCCTTTCCATAATTAGAGAGTACATCCAATTCACCCTGTTCATTAGCCCTGGGCCCGGTGACAAATGATGAGCAGGCCCGCTTCGCTCCTTTTTGGGGGTGAATGAGCAACAATCCATACGAGA